TGATGAGTTCTGCGTTGGTCCTGCAATGCCATTAGGACCCACGCTGACTTTCTCCCTCCCTTTTCTGTCATCCAAGGAAATCTGCTCCAAAGAAATCTAAGGCAGATGGTCAGTGAGAGGACGCTGGCCAGCACCTGGATTCTTCTCCAGACCCCCGCCTCACCCCGCTTCAGGAACCACCCACCAGGGCCTGCCTCTCCCACCCCTCCCAGTATTTGCACTTCGCTGTCACGAGCCACTGGCCGCCATTCACTCTCTCCCCCCTTTCTCTCTCTCCCTGTTTTAAAATGACCTAAAGAAAGCACATTTTACCTTGCTGTTGGGAGAAAGCAGAGGCAGGCTGGAAGGAGCAGCGAGCCAATGAGAGAATAGGGCTCCTACTGTCTTCTCCCCGGCCGAGCAAGACTAGAGAGTTCCGAGACCTCTGAGGGAGAGAAATTGGAACTTACAGAAGACAAGAAAGCACCCACACTTCCAAGCTTGCACGCTTCAGGGTTCATTGCCCTTGGCCCGAGGGGGCAGCCGAGGGCTGGGTGGGGGTGGGTGAGGGGAGGTGCCCTGGCCCCTCCTCCGAGAGGCTTTCCCGGCGCCCTGACCTAGGCATATGTCTGGTTCTATTTTACTTTGTTGCCCTTGTGTTTCAGCCACCTAACGTCCCTTCCTCAGGCTTATGCAGCCCACCCTGCCCGGTGTCCCCACAGGAAGCTCACACATTTTCTCAGAGGCCTTCATGCTCCTACTTCTCCCCTTCCCCCTTTCCTGTTTAAAAAAAAGAAAAAAAAGGAGGAGCCTCATGGGGCCTGAACAGCGTTCTGTGAAAAAAAACCTCCCAACGGGGCTGGGAGTAGCCCCCACCGAGCCTGGCTTCAGCCCTGCCTGGCCTGAGGATGGGGCCACATCACCAACTGCTGCGTTTGTTGTATTTTTTTAAGTTGAAATTGATGAAGTTAACATTTTTATTGTAATTTTAGCCTTAGCGTGTGGGGTTTTGTCCCTTTTTTGTTAGCTGTGTACAGAATGTGTATCTTTCTTTTCTTTTTTTTTTCTTAGTTTTTGTTTTTTACTTTTTTCTCCTTGGCTAATCCTTGGCAGGGATCTTTGTGGAGGAAAAGCTGGGGGCAGCCGTGGCAGGAGAAGAAACTCTCACGTGGGGCCTGGTATTCACTGCCCAGCCTGATTTCCTGTTGCTGGCCCCTGCCCCCTGCCCTTTGCCTGTACCCAGGCCTCTGGAACAAAGGAAGAGTGAGCTGTCAAACCTCACTCTGCATGGGTGATTGCTCTGCATCTATAGGGGCAGCCTGAGGGTAGGCTAGAGTCTTTGTGTCCTGGATTCACAGTTATCCACAGTCCCTGGCCAGAATTGAGGCTGAGAAGCCCAAGGCCCTTGGCAGCAGCAGCTTGGAGATTCTGACGCTCTGCACTGCTGCTTTCTGTAGCACCCCCCGCCCCCCTAGTTTTAACAGAAAGGGGGCGGAGAGTGGAGGGAGACTAGGACTCCTGGAGGCAGGCCAGGAAGAGCACGTGTGGTGGTGTCTGCAGGGGAAGCTGGGACACCAGCCATCAGCTTTATGAACCTGCAGCATTGTCCCAGACTGGGCCAGTCTTCCTAAGGGCCAGACTTGGGGTGGGGTTCTGCTTGGAGTTTTCTGCCCCACACCTGAGTTTTAGGCAAGGTGCAGGGCTTGCAGGCAGGTCATGGAAGGATTTGAAATGAGCACCCAATCTTTCAGCCCCCCCATCTCTGCCTGGAGACGCAGTGGTAGGGGAGTGGCTCCCACCTCTGGCCCACGCCCTCCAGGGCCTCTGGTTTGTTGTATTATATTTCACTGTGGAAAATGTCACGTTTAGTCACCTTGGAACCCACTCACCTGGTCCCATTGTTTTACCCCAGTCCCTTCTCCCAAGCACCCTCTGATTTCTCGTTTCTGAGAACAGTGCGCCTGTTCACTATTGTAGAGTAACCCCTGTGACTCGATATTACCATAGTGCGATGTCGTTTTGTGCTATTTTGAACAATTAAAAGACTTTTTTTGAAATAACCACCTGGTGTCACATTGTGTCCCGGACTCCTGGGCCTCTTGCCGCCAGGGTCTGTGGGTGAGTGGGATCCTGCTTCCCAATTGTGTGCCCAAAGCTCAGAAGCCTTCGGGGCACCCCCACCCCCCACCCCCCGCAGCCTGTGGCCTTTGGACCGAGTCACACCAGGCTGTTGCAGGTCCCTCAGTGGCAGCTGCTGCTGGCTCCCTGTGTTTGGAGGTTGGGTCACCTTCCCTCACTAGAGGACAGGGATGGGACAAAGATCTGGCAGGTCACCAGGGCCTGGCCTCCTTGGGCAGTTTGGGGGGAGGGGGCTGGGTCACAGCTCCCAAATGCTGTCCACCACAAGCTCAGGACCTCAGCCCCTCAGTGTGTCCACTCTGGCAGGACTGGTCCATGTCAGGCACACAGTGGGCACTCGGGCGCTGCAGAAGAAATGAATCTTACCATGCTCCCTCTTAATGCACAAGCCAGGCCCCAGCAAGCTGACAGTCTAGTGACAGTTGGGTGGCTCAGCTAGAATTAGATGGCTGAATTCTTCCTTGGTGTTGACCAGCCAGGGGTCCAGAAAGCCAGGGCGTGGCAGCCCAAGTGGCACAGGTCTTGGGTGCGGTGGAGGAGAGCAACACTGCTCTGCTGGGGCTTCCTCAGCACCCCTCCGCTTTCTCCCTGAAGCCTCTGCTGCCCACCCTTCCTCTCACCCGTTCTGCTACCAGAAGCTGCTGGGGTACCCAGAGCTTCCATCTGCCCACAGTCGGGTGGGTGTGTGCACAGAGTGTGGGTGCATGCTGGTAGGCCAAACCAAGGCTTAGTCCAACTCGGCCTCCCCAAAGTGAGCTCTTTGCCTGGTGCCCACTCTACTGGGCTTTCCAGTGTGTTGTATCATGTGATCTGCTGTGTCCCCCCCCACATAGCCTGTTGGTCTTGACACCCAGAGCCATGGCTCTGTCTTACCCACTCCACCCAGTCCTGGGGAGCTCAGGAGAGTGGCCTCACAGACAGGGGCCCAGGGCAGGAAAGCGTTCTCAGAGCAGAGCAGTGGGAGCAATGCTGGGGGCAGGGGGTAGAAACATGGACCAGCTAGGGTGAAGAGTCCATGTGGGGCTGGCCCCAGAAGGGGAGGGGCCTTGTAGATTTGCCAGACGTTTGAGAAATGGTTTTGTGGACACAGCCTGGAGAGGGGTACAAGGGTTCTTCCTGTAGCCAGCACCTATGAGGCCACCCACACTCCGCCTTCCCTATGCTCACCTGCCTTGTGGTGGCCTGCATGGCACTCTGGAGGGCAGGGGCCACATCAGTAGTCTCTGGTGCTGATCTCAAAACACTGGGCTGGAGTCTGAGCACACCACTCCTCGGCCTACTGGGGAGAGCCCTGGGCAGGGAGAGGCAGCATGGCACCTGTTCTCACCTGCTGCCAGGGAAAGCTCTTCCAGTTCTCCATGTCTGGATTGGCTAAGACAATGACCACTGGACCCAGGGCTACGGGGACCACCCATAGGAACCTAGAACCCTCCACACACTGAGGCTTGGCCTTGGCTAGGCACAAGGCAGGTAGTATGTGCAAGGGAGGCAGGGGAGAGGCTGGACATGAACTGATAAACCATACACAATGACAGGCGCCTGTGAGCAGAGCAGGTGGACACAAGCCCAGCAGGACACAAAGCCAGGATTCGCAAAGCATGAACTAAAGTTGAGGGTGCACATGAACCTAGAGCAGCTGGAGTGGGCACCCACCTGCTGGACAGGGAGGTAAGTCTTGTTCCCTAGCATCACAAAGGGGAACTGTTCGGGAGGCGCCGCCCCCCACCCGCCCACCAGGCAGCCATAACCTGGAAGGAGGTAGCCACTGTGGTGTCAAACAGCAACACACGGCAGTGGGAGCCCCAGTCCAGTGCCACACCCAGGGATCGGAACCTCTCCGTGCCGGCTGTGTCCCAGAGCTGCACCGAAGAGGCAGAAAGACCAAGTTATGTTCCTGGGCTGCAATCCACCTTTCCACAAGAAGGGATGACACAGAAATCCAAGATTCTCCAAGCCACACTGGGAACCCAGGGACCTCAGGCATTCTGGCATAATTCTACGGAGCAGTAAAGCGCCCAGTTGTCAGGGAAAGTGAGGGACGGCTCAGCCAGCCTGCCTGGTAGCACCTTAGAGCAACGCAAACCAAGCCTGGGTGGCTGGAAAACAGGCCCGAAGGAGGGGGCTCCAGCTCTTACCTGAACAGTTACTGTCTGGCCTTTGAGCTGCATCACTTGGGTAAAGAAGTCAGCACGGGCCGGGCGCGGTGGCTCACGCCTGTAATCCTAGCTCTCTGGGAGGTCGAGGCGGGTGGATTGTTTGAGCTCAGGAGTTCGAGACCAGCCTGAGCAAGAGCGAGACCCCGTCTCTACTAAAATTAGAAAGAAATTAATTGGACAACTAAAAATATATAGAAAAAATTAGCCGGGCATGGTGGCGCATGCCTGTAGTCCCAGCTACTCGGGAGGCTGAGGCAGGAGGATCGCTTGAGCCCAGGAGTTTGAGGTTGCTGTGAGCTAGGATGACGCCACGGCACTCACTCTAGCTCGGGCAACAAAGTGAGACTCTGTCTCAAAAAACAAACAAAAAAAGAAGTCAGCACCGATGGCTGCCCTTTACTGACTGCTGAAGTAGTTGGTGACAAACCGATTCAACACAGGACTTGACCACTCAGTGTGGCCACAGGTCAGAGGGGCCTCTAAATTCAGGTATTTCCAGCTGTTCCCTGTCCTGCTGCACTCCCACCCTCAGCCGCCCTGTCCTGCCCCCGGCCCCCCACCAGGGCCCCTCTCCGGCTCAGTTAAAGGTGACTAGTTGGGGGGCGGGGCAGCCCCGCGCTCGGCCCTCGTCCCAGACTGTCCTGCCTGCCCTGCATTTCTCACCAGGAAGATCATGAGCTGAGGACGTCCGGCAGAGGCCTTCGCGAGACTCGTCGGTCTGAGGGTCGCGGCGGGGCCAAGCGCGGGGGCGGACCCACCAAGCCACGCCCCCGCCGTGGGCTCCGCCCCCAGGCCCTGCGGAATCCTGAAGAGGAGGGGGTGGGTGGGGCGCAGCTCGGTCAGCTGAGTGACAGTCACGGGACCGCGACCGGCTCAGTCTGGCTTCCTGGAGGAGAGGGAGGGATGAGCGGGGGTCTCCAAGTGCGACAGGCTAGTGGTGGGGCTCGTGGGGGGAGTGCTGTTTTGGAGGGTTCCCGGGGATGGTGAGGTCAGAAGCCCTCGCAGAAGTGGGGGGATCCCTGAGGGTTGGGGCCTGGGGCTGGGGACCTCTAGGGGGACGGGTCGAGCAGCTCTGGGACCCGCCTGGCCCCCGCTCAGGAGACTGCGCCTCCAAGCCCGGGTCCCCCTAGGACATGGAGAAGGAGCGGGAGACTCTGCGGACCTGGAAGCAGCGTATGGGGCAGGAACTGGACCGCGTGCTGGCTTTCTGGACGGAGCATTCCCATGACCAGGAGCACGGGTGCGCCGGCCCTTGAGGGCTCTTTGCCCCTTCCTAGCCCCCACCTCGCTCACTGGCAACTCACTGATCCGCTGGCTCCAGCGGGCAAGGGGCTTGTGGCGGTGCAGGGCCCTTCTCCCTGCTAACCCTGCGCATCCCACAGGGGCTTCTTCACGTGTCTTGGCCGCGATGGGCGGGTGTATGACGACCTCAAATATGTCTGGCTGCAGGGGAGGCAGGTAGGGGATCACCTGGTGCAGCTGAGCCTCTCCCAGGGGTGGAAATCCTGCCCCAGTCCACACACACGCAGGCCCATCATCCCAACACTCTTCTTCCCAACAATAGTGACATCTAGGACTCACCCTCCCCAGCCACTCCCCCTGAAGCCATGTTCTCCCACAGGTATGGATGTATTGTCACCTGTACCGCAAATTTGAGCGCTTCCACCACTCTGAGCTTCTGGACGCAGCAAAAGCAGGTACCCCTTCCTGCTCCCCATCTCCCCAGTTTACTCAGTGGAGCATGTGTTAGTTCCTGGGGTGGGGGGAGCAGCAAAGGGCCTGGGGAGGCGCCAAGGTGGTGTGTGTGTGCAAAGGGAGCCCTCACTTTAGTCTTAGCGTGCCAACTTCCGAACCGCCAGGTGGCGAATTTTTGCTGCGTTATGCCCGGGTGGCACCTCCTGGCAAGAAGTGTGCCTTTGTGCTAACTCGGGATGGCCGCCCAGTCAAGGTGCAGAGGACCATCTTCAGTGAGTGCTTCTACACCATGGCCATGAACGAGCTGTGGAGGGTGACAGGGGAAGTGCGTTACCAGGTGCGTGAGAGGAGGTTTGCCTAGGTGACTGCTGGGTCTAAGGATGAGCCCTGAAGATCCCACCCTGGTACTCTGCCATGGTCACCTGACGTAGTTCAACTCAGTGTGCAAGTCCCCTCCCCTGGCCCCCACGGGGGCTTCGAGCAACACCCCCTTTTATTGCGCCGTACTGTCATCATGTGTCTACGGTTTCTGCCCTCCCCCCCAACGTCTCCTTCACCTGTGAACACCCCCCCATACCCCCACAGGGGTCCTGGGCAGAGAGGGCTCTATCCACACCCTGCCTCCAACTGGAAAGGGGCCTCTCCCTCCTCCCTGGGGTTCTCTGTGCTGCCAGACCCTGACCCCACAGCCTGGGAGTGGTCTGCACCCCCAGACTGGGATCCCCTGAGGCAGGGTAGTGCGGGTCTACCTGGCCCCCAGCACCTGACTCCAGGGCCAGGCCCATGCCCACAGTAGGCCCTGTTAAGGTGTCCTTGGAGCTCTTGAGAGGAATTGGCTCTCCCACCCCAAGGCCCTGTCCTCGGGACCCTGCAGGTACCTGGGGGATGACACAGATGGGACAGGATACAGCCTCAGCCTGGGCCTCCCCTCTCCTGCCCCCACCCCCTAGAGCGAAGCGGTGGAGATGATGGATCAGATCGTCCACTGGGTGCGGGAGGACCCGTCGGGGCTGGGCCGGCCCCAGCTGGCAGGGGCGCCGGCCGCAGAGCCCATGGCGGTGCCCATGATGCTGCTCAACCTCGTGGAGCAGCTCGGGGAGGCGGACGCGGAGCTGGCAGGCAGATACGCGGAGCTGGGGGACTGGTGCGCCCTGCGGATCCTGCAGCACGTGCAGGTGGGGGTGCCCCCCACTGCCCCTCCCCATGCTCCCTGGGCACCTCCTCCGCCCACACCCGCCCTCGAGCTTTACAGACCGGGAGACACGGGGAGGCTCGGCCAGGGCGAGCTGCGGCCCAGGACCCTTGGGAAGGTGGGGGGCCCCAGGGAGCCCATGGCAGAGAGAGCCCATGGGGCTGAGCGCGGCACCGACGGTGCCAGAGCCCTGGGCAAGGCCTGAGAGCGGGAGACCTGGCCAGACCCAGGCCCCTCCCAGGCCTCTGTGGGCAGCCAAGCATGCCCTGTCTGTCCCCATTCAATGTTTCACCATCCCCACTGGAGAGGCCTGGGCCTGGTGCAAGGATTAGAACCTCCTAGACCCATGGCAGTGAACTGCTCATCCTCAAATGCCCCTCTGAGCCAAGCTAGCCCAAGCCAGTGGGACCAGAGGCTTGGGTGGGAGGGAGAGAGGAGAGGATTTCTGATGCTGGGTCTTTCTAGTTAGGTGGCTGGGTGGGTGGGCTCAAGGCAGAATTACCTTCTACTCCTTGCCTGGCAGAGGGATGGCCAAGCTGTGCTGGAGAATGTGTCAGAGGATGGCAAGGAACTTTCTGGTTGCTTGGGGAGACACCAGAACCCAGGTGAGGGACAGGGTGGGCTGGGGGCTCCCCAGGAGGAGGGGAGCACTAGGCCTTGGGTTCTGGGCTTCAGATGTGGGGAGTGCCTGGGGTGTCGGTCATGGTGGGTGCATGAGCTGGGGAGCTTTTGGGCTTCCCGGGTGGAGAGGTTCATTGCTGGGGAGGGAGGCACGGAGGTGCCAAGGCTTGAGTTCCCCCACACCCTCACCCCCTCCACTACCCCCAGCACCTGGGGGAGGACCTGGTTCCTGCCTTACCCAAACCCCTGGCCAGGTCATGCACTAGAAGCCGGCTGGTTCCTGCTCCGTCACTCCATCCAGAAAGGTGACCCCAAACTTCGAGCCCACATTATCGACAAGTTCCTGTTGTTGCCCTTCCGCTCTGGATGGGACCCTGAACACGGAGGCCTCTTCTACTTCCAGGATGCTGATGACCTCTGCCCCACCCAGGTGAGACAGTGCCCAGGGCCATGTGTTACTAGTCCTGTTCTAGGGCTTTCTGTCCTGGGAGATGGGTGCTGTCATCATCCTTGTCTTATAGAGGGAACCCAGCAATACATTTGAACCTAGAGGCCAGATCTTGACTTCTGTGCCACTGGATCCCAACCCATGTCACATGGAGGCCATTAGGGAGCTTGTGCAAATGACAAATGACGACATTTGTCCCCTTTGTCTGGAGTCCTGGTGTCTTTGAAAGTTTCTCCAGGTGATTCTAGTGCATTGGCAGCCAGGAGTGGAATTGTTCCCTTATGCTATGTTGCCTCTGATTGTGCCTTGATCCTGCCAGAGATCTGCAGATGGTGGCTGTCCCACCCATGGGCAGGAGTTTTAAGGGGCTTAAAGACAGATTAATAAGACAGACAGGCTATAAGGGAGCCCACCCCACCCTTGTCCTTTTAGAAGGGACTACTTGGGGTACATCCAGGTCAGCAAGCTCATCTTGTTCTGAGGTACCCTTTTAGGCCCCCCAGAGATGTCCCATGATTAAGTTCCAAGTCCTTGGGTTGGATGGAGACTAAGCCAGGTCTGGAAAGATGGGGGCTGAGTGTCTTGCTGAGAGGGCTGTGGGGGCAGGAGAGGGAACCCAGGGTTCTCAGATGCCTGCCTCTGCTCTGCTCTCAGCTGGAGTGGGCCATGAAGCTCTGGTGGCCTCACAGCGAAGCCATGATTGCCTTTCTCATGGGCTACAGTGACAGTGGGGACCCTGTGTTGCTCCATCTGTTCTACCAGGTGGCTGAGTACACCTTCCGCCAGGTGAGTGCTGCCTCCTTGTCCCCTCTAGAGGCTCAGGCACTGGGCAGCATGTAGGGGGAGCCTCTTCCCCCAGGCCCCCATCCTCCCTCACTGGGCACAGTCCCTCAGCTGGTTGGAGTGGTTCTAGAGCTTCAGCGGCCTTTCCTCAGTCAGCAGAGAAGCCCCTGCCCTTCTAGAGCCCTCATTTTGGTGGGGGGAGAGTATAAACAAGCAAACATGGTGGCAGCAAGAGCTCTGGAAGACAGGAAGCAGGGGAGGGACTGGGCACTCTTTCTTGTGGGGCACCGAGTAAGGGCCTGAGTCAATCCACAGAGCAGGGCAGGGGTGTGTGCGGGGCGTGGGGGTACCCGTCTGATCTGCTGGAGCCCAGCAAGCAGGCCTCCCAGCCTTGGGACGAGGAGGGCAGGTGGGAGGGGATAAGGGGAAAGGGGCAGGGGTTGCCTGGGTCCAGGGCAGGTGGTAGGAAACACGGCAGAAACTGGGAGAGTGGAGGACGCTCTCATTGTCACCAGCCAGTGAGGTCTGACCGGGGGTGGGAAATGAGGGGCAGAGGGGTCCAAGTCTGGTTGGGCAACAGTGGGATTTCTGAGTTCAGAGGGAGAGGTCTGGGCTGGGCACAAATGTTTAACTGTCATACGAATATAGCTTGGGAGACTGAGGTGGGAGGATCTCAAATACAAGCCCGGCCTGGGCAAAAGCAAGACCCTATCTCAAAAAAAAGAAAAAAAAAAAAAAGAATAGAGATGACACCAAGAGCTGTGAGGCGAAGTGCACTGTTGCGTACAGAAGGAGAAGAGGAAATAGGAGGCCCAGCAGAGGCGGCAGGAAGTAGTTGTGAGGTAGCAAGGAAACAGAGCCAGGGGCCCCCCAGAGGCCCAAGTGTTAGGAACGGAGTGATAAGCTGTACTGACTGTTGCCAGGGCAGGGCACCCAGTGGTGACAAGGCCTGGGTGGTGAATGAAGGAAGACTTGGGATGTGTTTCTGAAGTCACAACTCTGACTCACTCCATTGGTAAGCGCAGGCACCGGAAGGACTGTATAGCAGGGCAGCTTATTCTAAGGTCTGTGGGCTGCAAAACCTGGTGGAAAATGACACCTTTATTTGCACTAACCTCTAACGGAAATCTAGCATTTGCTTCTATTATGAATGGATGTGTTTATATGATGTGTTCATCACTACTTCCAAACCACAGGAGTCATCAGGCCTGCAGCTGTATCTTAATATTGTAAAGCATTCGTGAAGAGCCACCAGTTTTAACTCTATAAAATGATACTGAAGGAATACATTATAGCAAGGTAGAGATGACATTAAACAATTACAAAAGTTATAATCAACAAGTAAATCATGCACTAACCAAAATAACAGAATAGAGAAAGCAAAAATCCAGACATCCAAGGAAAAACTGGAAAGTCAATTAATGTGGGAAATTTAAAAATTCTTCATTATCTTCCTGTGTCAGATTAGGCAGTCATAAAGTAAGGACTTCAACAATGTAACTCAAAAGATACAATGAAGCCACTACAAAGATGAATACAAACTCTTATAGGCCGTAATTTAGAGACAGATGATGGACTTCAATGTAATTGACTTCTTCTATGGTCCTTCTGAGAAGGGGCTCAATTGACAAGCCTTCCCGGGACAAGTACCTGATGGGATGCGAACAGGACAGAGGGAGGGAGTGCGGAATGGGTCAACTGAGCTGCTGTTCCCTCTATCAGAAGCAGCTGGGCACTGGGCAGGGGCAGAGGGAGGACAAGATGTGTTCAAGACCCATGGCGAGTGAAGACAACAGTCAGGTCTTGGTTCCAGATGTGCACAATCTCATCTACTGGAAGACAGGTCCGTCAAGCAGGGAACAGGAGCTCCAGGGGAGTCACTTGTTAGAAAGTTTCATGACAGCTCATCTTGTCCATCAGGGTTCTTTGTTCCTTTATTTATTTATTTATTTTTTGAGACAGAGTCTCAACTGTGTTGCCCGGGCTAGAGTGCCGTGGCATCATCCTAGTTCACAGCAACCTCAAACTCCTGGGCTCAAGCGATCCTCCTGCCTCAGCCTCCCGAGTAGCTGGGACTACAGGCATGCGCCACCATGCCCGGCTAATTTTTTCTATATATTTTTAGTTGTCCAATTAATTTCTTTCTAATTTTAGTAGAGACGGGGTCTCGCTCTTGCTCAGGCTGGTCTCGAACTCCTGAGCTCAAACAATCCGCCCGCCTGGGCCTCCCAGAGAGCTAGGATTACAGGCGTGAGCCATTGCGCCCGGCCTGTTCCTTTAAATCAACTGGTTTTTTTCTTCTTTTTTAAAATTTTTATTTATTTATTTACATTTTTTTTGACAGTTAATTTCTTTCTATTTTTAGTAGAGATGTGGTCTCGCTCTTGCTCAGGCTGGTCTCGAACTCCTGAGCTCAAATGATCCTCCTGCCTCAGCCTCCCAGAGTGCTAGGATTACAGGTGTGAACCACCATGCCCGGCCCCTTTAAATCAATTGTATTGAAGTACAATTTACATACCCTAAAATGTATCCATTTTACGGGTTCATTTCAGTGAGTTATGGCAACGTATACAGTATGTAATCACCACCACAATCAAGAATATAGAACATTTGTATCATCCTAGAGCAGGGTTCTTTTATTTCATCTGGTACTGTTTCATGTCACAGGCCCCAGCCCCTTCCCCAGTCGGTTATACAGCTGCAGACTGTCTGGTACCTCTCATCCCCTGCTTTCATCTTGTTCAGGACATGGTGTCACGGTTAAGAGAACTGGTTTTGGAGCAGTGTTACCTGCGGTCAGTCCAGGCTCTGACCCCCGGTAGCGGTGAAGTGGGGACAAAGAGCACACCTGCCCCAGGCCGTGGCATCTGAGCGGGTCCTGCAGCCGCTAGCTGTCACTGTCACGTTGTTATTACAGTTTCGCGATCCGGAGTATGGGGAATGGTTTGGCTACCTGAATCGAGAGGGAAAGGTTGCCCTCACCATCAAAGGGGGTCCTTTCAAAGGTGAGAGGGGTACGGGGCGGGACCGCAGGGGCTCGCGGCACTCGGCTGCCCCGTCCTCCCAACCGCCCGCCCGCCTCTCCCCGCAGGCTGCTTCCACGTGCCGCGGTGTCTAGCCATGTGCGAGGAAATGCTGGGCGCCCTGCTGAACCGCCCCGCCCCGGCGCCCGCCCCCGGCGCCCGCTCCCCGCCCGCCGTCCCCGCCCGCCGAGGCGCAGAATAAAGCTAGACCTGTTCCGCCTGTCTGTGTACGCGCGTCTGTGGGCTCGCGGGAGGGGCGGCCGCCACGCCTCACCGGGCGACCGGGCAGGCTCCAGCTCGCAGGGCCAGCGCCCGCCCCGGCAGGCCCGCCCCGAGAGCCGGACCTGCCAGCGCATTGGCCGAACGGCCAGGAGGGCGGGCCCGCGGCCGCGCACTTCCGGCCGGTGTCCGGCCCGGCGCGCACCTCCCCTTCCGCCACCGCCCCCGCCAGCCCGGCCCCAGCCCCAACCGCAGCCTCGGCCCCGGCCGCCCCGGCATCTCTTCAGAGCGCGGGGGCAGCTGACTGCGCGTTCACGACTCTCTGGGACCCGCGACCCGCCGCCGTTATGAACATCCGCAATGCGAGGGTGAGGGTTCGGGTGGGAGGCTGTCCGCGCCGCGTGGGCGCCGGGCCGGGTGGCTGCGTGCGCATGCTCCCGAGGGCCCCGGCCGAGCCCGGCCCGGTGGCCCTGCGTGCCTGCGGCCGCCGTACCCGTGGGGCTGGACCAACTCAAAGAGGAGGCCGGCGGAGCCGGGGCGCAGGGTCGGGGCTGCGAATGCCTCCTGTTTGCGCGATGTCGGGGCCCGGTCTGGTCTCGGGGAGCTCCCGGCGGCCACTCTTATTCCTGGAACAGACAAGTTTTGCACAGCGGCTGTGCGCCAGGCCTGGGAAACTCAGATATTCACAGCGCCTGCCCAGCCCCCGGGGAGGGCCTGAGTAGACAGGGAGCAGGGCTCTCACCCGACTGAGGCCTGCTTAGTCACCGGCCCTGGACTGACCGCATTCCCATTCCACTGCCCTACTCCCCTGCAGCCAGAGGACCTGATGAACATGCAGCACTGCAACCTCCTCTGCCTGCCCGAGAACTACCAGATGAAATACTACTTCTACCATGGCCTCTCCTGGCCCCAGGTGGGCAGCTTTTGAATTTGAGGGTGAGGGAAACCAGGCCAGGAAAATCCAAGTTGGGTTGTACAGGGAGTAGTGGGCGAGGCCACAAGAGTGGAGGAGGCTGTATGGTCGCATGACCACGGTGTTTTCCAGCTGACATGGGGCAGGGGCAAGTGAAAAGGATGTGCCTGGAGGGAGTGTAGAAGAGGGACAGGATTCCCACCTTGTGTCTGTCTTCTTCCAGGTCAAGAACCGGGCACAATGTGGTCTGGGGGAAACTCAGTCACTTAGCCTGGAGGTCATGAGCCATCACAGAACTCACCACTTGACCAGCTTCTGTCTCTCTTGCACATAGCAAGAGGCAGGCGTTGGGACCAGGTGTCCTCCAAGGGCTCCTCCGCTCTGCCATGAAGTTGTTTTCTGACTCCCTTTTCCTCTCCGCCACCAGCTCTCCTACATTGCTGAGGATGAGAATGGGAAGATTGTTGGGTACGTCCTGGCCAAAATGTGAGTCACCAAGGAGGGAAGCCCAGCGCTTGGGGGCTGGGGCAACACCACACATACCTGGTGGATGCTGCTGTGGCCTCATAGTCTTTTTATTAGTACAGTTTAAAGTTTACAGAAGAATTGAGCAGAAAGGACAGAAAGTTCCTGTATAGCCTCTCAGGGTCTCCTGCCCCCAGTTTCCTCTATTAATGTGTTGCCTTTGTGTGCTACATTTGTTACAAGTGATAAACCAGTATAATGTATTATTAGTAACTAAACCTGTAGTTTACATTACCATCATTCTCACTGTGTTGTGTGCTCTATGGGTTTGGACAAATGACATGTGTTCACCCTTATATTATCCACCCATTCATCCCTCCCTCCCCCCAACCTCTGGCAGCCACTGTTCCTTTACTGTCTCCATACTTTTGCCTTTTCCAGAATGTCATATAGTTGGAGTTATAGAGTATGTGTAACCTTTTCAGACATGCTTTTTTAACTTAGTAATATTGAATATTCACTTAAGGTTGTGGCTCGATAACTCATTTCTCTCTCTCTCTGTCTTTTTTTTTTTTTTCTTTTTTGGAGATATGGTCTCACTCTGTTGCCCAGGCTAGAGTGCAGTGGTGTGATCACAGCTCACTGCAGCCCTGAACTCCTGGGCTCAAGCGATGCTCCTGCCTCAGCCTCCCGAGTAGCTGGGACTACAGTTGTGCCCTGCCATGCCTGGCTAATTTTTTATTTTTTGTAGGGGTAGGGTCTTGCTGTGTTGTTCAGGCTGGTCTTGAACTCTCAGCCTCAAGTGATCCTCCCACCTCGTCCTCCCAAAGTGGTGGGATTACAGGCGTGAGCCATAGTGCCCAGCCGACAGCTCATTTCTTTTTATCACAGAACAATATTCTGTCAACACTGCATATGTCTGGTAGATGCTACCTGTGGATTTTTTTTAGGGACAGAGTCTCACTGTGTTGTCTAGGTTGGAATACAGTGGCTCTTCACAGGCCCAATCATGGCACACTACAGCCTTGAATTAATGGGCTCAAGTGATCCTCCTGCCTCAGCCTCCTGAGTAGCTGGGACTACAGGCATGCGCCACTGCGCCTGGCATGCATGGGGTTCTGAGGGAGCAGAAGGTGGCAGGATCAGCTGCTCTGATCTGAGAGGTTCACAGCTCTCCCCCAACCCCAGTCTTGGGGGGCTATAGGGCCAGCCTAGAGGAGTTTGTGCACTTGCTCTACACACGTGCTGGGGGAGGGGTGTGGCTGCGTCTGCACCAGGTTCCTTTCTAGCCTCTCTCCTTTCTCCTCTAGGGAAGAGGACCCAGATGATGTGCCCCACGGACATATCACCTCACTGGTACATAGGGCCCACCCAGGCTCTGGCGGGGGTGGAAGTGAGGGTTAGCTGGGGCAGCCTTCAGAGCCCCACCCTCTGCCCACTCTTCCCCTACCAGGCTGTGAAGCGTTCCCACCGGCGCCTCGGCCTGGCTCAGAAGCTGATGGACCAAGCGTCTCGAGCCATGATAGAGAACTTCAATGCCAAATACGTCTCCTTGCATGTCAGGAAGAGGTGGAAGTCAGACTGAGGGGAGGGAGAATTGGTGGAGGGAAGGGGGAGGAAAAGATACTGTCTTGGCAGGGGTCCTGGGGTGCCTGGGCTTGTGGAGAAGATCCGGGAAGTGGGATTAGTGGGAAGGGGGGACCAGGAAGAGGGACAGGACCTGGACATGCTGTCCCTGCCTGGCCAAGTCTGTGCTGCTCAGCAGTGCCTTATTCCCCCGCAGTAACCGGGCCGCCCTGCACCTCTATTCCAACACCCTCAACTTTCAGTAAGTAGATCCAGATTTTCCTAATGGGCTGGGGCTGGTCCCATGTCTGGCCCATCAAGGCGGCTGAGAAGGGCTGAGCAGCCTTCCAGGCAGAGGGTTGAGGGTGGTGGAGAGGGGGAGGAGGCCATGGACCCCAGGCTGTCGATTGAAAAGGTGGCATGGAAACGGCACCTGCCTGCTAAAATATGCTCAGTGCATGTTGCGATGGGGAGGAGGTTTGGTGTGTCTGCTTGGGGAGACATGATGGCTAGGTGCTGGCAGAGGCTGGTGAAGTGCAGTGTGGTGAGGAGCGCTTTTTAGTGAAAGTCTGGGAGAGAGATGTGGGCCCAGGGCATGAGCAGATGCTGAGGAGCAGGACTACAAGGGACCAAGCACATAGAAGCCTCAAGCAAGAGCAGAAGACAAGAGAAAGCACATCCAGGAGGAAGGGCCATCAGGGCGAAGACATGATGCCTTGCTCCATTAGCACAGGATACTAGGAGGCTGAGGAGAATCTGCCACCAGGTTTGGGTCTTCCTTGCTCTCCACCCTCTGCCCCCAGGATCAGCGAAGTGGAGCCCAAATACTATGCAGATGGGGAAGATGCGTATGCCATGAAGCGGGATCTCACCCAGATGGCTGACGAGGTAAGAGTCAGCTGGGCCAGGGTGGCAGTCCCCGCCACGAAGAAAAGCAAGGCAGGTAGGGGAGGCCCTGGTAGGGGGCAGATGGTGGCTGGAGGTGAGACTGACTTTGGGTGCCAGCCCTCGTGGCCACATTGCTGGGAGTCATGGCCCCTCTTCAGCTCAGTTTCCTAAGCTGTCACGTGGGGAGGTGGGCCTGGGCTGTGCTTCAGAGGAGGCCATCCACCCAAGATTTTGTTGTCTGAAGAAGCAGCCTATAGGTATGATATGAGAGGCAGGGAGGAGGCTTTCTAAGGAAGTGGGACAGCCATGGCCTGCCTGCTCAGGTAAGACAAAACTGGGCTGCAGAGCATGCCAGGGTCCTGCCCAAGGCTCCTTGGGGGGCAGGGCTTTTTAAGGGGCATAGCTCTGTCTTGGGGGTTTCATAGAAGCCCTCATGAGGGAGGTATGATCGTCCTCATTTTAAAGGTGTAGAAATAGGCCCAAGGAGAGCAGAGCCAGGACTCAGGCCCGGTCTCTCCACTCAGTCCTGGGTTTCCTGCCCTGGCCCTGCTGCCTCTCATTACACCCCTCCCCCCAGCAAGTGACAGGGCCAGGCTCCCCTTGCCGCCACCTCCTACCCCATGTCTGGAGACTTAGGCCCTGTCTCTCTGCTCCTGCTTCTCCCTGGGCTCCTGCCGGCAGCTGAGGCGGCACCTGGAGCTGAAGGAAAAGGGCAGGCATGTGGTGCTGGGTGCCATCGAGAACAAGGTGGACAGCAAAGGCAATGCACTTCCGAGCTCTGGAGAGGCCTGTCGTGAGGAGAGGGGCCTGGCTGCTGAGGATAGTGGTGGGGATAGCAAGGACCTCAGCGAGGTCAGCGAGACCACAGAGAGCACAGACGTCAAGGACAGCTCGGAGGCCTCTGACTCGGCCTCCTAGAGCCTACTGCATCCCTTCCTCGCCCCACGAGCTTTCACAATAAATTTCACCCCGTGGCCCTGGGGAATTTGTGCGTGTGTGTGCGTGTGTGTGTGTGTGTGTGTGTGTGTGTGCGCGCGCACATTCCGGGCAGGGGTGCTGCTCTCCAGAGCATCCTGCCGAGCCCAAGTAGAAGGGAAGAGCTTTGTCCGCGCTTTGGAGGTGTGACTCCCAAGTCTGATGGCTTTCAGCAGCGTTGGGCCTGGTGAAGGAGACCTTGGGCTTCTGGGCAGCACGTCGTTAGGCTTTCACATCCTTGTTAACGTCCTAGGGCTGAGCTAGATGATCCCTCGGGGCCCTTCTAGCTCTCCCACGCTGAATGTGTTTTGAGGGCCAAGCCTGGGCTAGTCAGCTTCAGACGTCAAAGGTGGTTTTCCTATTCCTGGTGGCCTTCACTGCCTCTGCCTGGTCCTTGAGTGTCCCACCTTCAGCCCCTTTCTCTCCCTACTCCTACCTGCTTTCAGCTACGACAGCTCCAGTTCATACCTCCTGGGCTCCAGATGTGGAGTCCAGCTGCTCACTGGGCTTACCTACAGGTGTCCTATCTGGGTAATGGCCCAGCCAGCTACCCAATTGCTCAAGCCCTGTCAACTATCCTTGATTCCTCCCTCCCCTATCACCCAAATGGTCAGCAAGTGCTCTGTGTTCAGCCTCCATAATACTTCTTGAGTGTATTCCCTAACCTGAGTCCGCATTTGAAAATAAGACTTTATTTTTAGTAGGTCTAGATTTACAGAATTATTCAGACAGTACAGAGTTCCACCCAGCCCTTCTCTGCTCAGTTTCCCGTATTGTTAACATTTTTTATTAGGTGGTGTATTTGTTACTATTGATGAGCCAATACTGATACATTATCGTCAACTATAGTCCCTAGTTTAGGGTTCCCTCTGCGTTGTACCGTTTCTGTGGGGTTTGACAAATGCATAAAGTCACGTATCCACCATTAGTTTCAAGCAGAATATAAATCCTGTTTTCCGTGGCCTCACTCTAATCCTAACTCTTGCTCCTGTGCCTTTCCTCCCTGTCCTTCCCTCTGGCTGCAATGCCACTACTTGCTGCTTCTAGCCCCTGGGCGGGTTCTGCACTCCCGACCTGACACTATACCTTATGCCCCTGCTACTGTAGATGGCACACTGCTCTCCCTCTAGGTTGAACAATTCGCCATCCGGGCCTGTACCTCCGTTCTCCCTTTGGCTGGCGCCTGGCACGTGACTAAGACAGCCGGCAGCCGGGTTAGCAGTGACTAGAGTGCGGAAGGGCCGGGGCCCGTCCCGAAAGACGCGCCTGCGCACGCCCGCCGCTCTCCGGCTCGCCAGCTCGGGCGAGGCTGTGTTCTGATTGGCTCAAGTCGCAAGCTTCCTTTTTATGGGTCGGAGGCGGAACCTAGGCCCGCCCTCCGCGCCTGGCATCACTCCCGGTTCGCAGTCTTGCGGCGGGCCGTTCCCAGGCTCTGATTGGTCCGGCGGCGCCGGGCCGGGCTGTGAGCAGGTGGGGGCGCAGACATGCGCGCTGGCTCGGCCGCGCCCTAGCACCGTGGGAGGGAGGGAGCTGGGGCTCCCGCGGCGCCCAGTTGCGCTTGCCTTCCTCCCCCGCGCGGACCCGGCCCGCCCTCTGTTCTCCGTGCCCTGCGTCCCTGTCGGCCCCGTGGACTCAAGGCCGCTCCCTCCGCCCCCAAGCGGTTAGCGGTTAGGTCCTCACCTTCTGCGGGATAGCTGGCTTTTGGGTCTCTAAAGGGGAACAATGGAGCTAAGGGTAGAACGAGCAGTAGGGGGCAGTTTCATTCAGGGCATTAAGTGCCAAACACTCAAGGTTTTAAAGCAGGGCTGAATGGGGGCATCATGTGAATATTTCTGGAGTCAGAAGAGGACTAATGAGAGCATTTGAAGGCAGGGGCTGAGGCCAGTTCAGCAGCCATTCCCTGTGTGCTTAAGCCCTGTGCCTGGCTCTGCTGGATGAATGAGGGACCTTTGGGGACCAGTTGGGACTCCGATGGAGGGCTAGCGGGTAGGCGGGGTGTGTTGGTTAGCTAGGGAGGGGGAGAGGTCCCTGGTTCCTCTTGGCCTGAGGCAACGTGGGGCGCAGGACGTGTTTCAGTCTCTCCTGACACAAGAGCAGGTTCAGGTGTGTGTGCGCCTGTGCCTGCTGTGGGAGGGGGTTGGGGCTCTCTGGCCTTGCCCGAGAATTCGAACATTGGTACTTCTGGGGCCAGCTGCTGGAAGTCCATCCAGGTTCTGGGCCTGCCAGGGTCTGGCTAGCACCCAGGCCTTGAAGCCCCAGGCCCTGAGGACACATGGCATCTTAGAGAAGGGCCTTGGAAGGGAGCTTAAGGGGGCGGGGAGCTGAAGGAGTGTGTTTTTTCCTTCTGGGCAAGAGAATTAATTGCTCTTAGTTGAAAGGCAGGAAGTATCTGCACAGCCTTCCCTCCCCGCCAGATCTGCAGGTCAAGGTCATGTGTGCCCGCATTTGCACAGAGCCTGACTTTGACGTCCATGCCTACACATGCCTGGATCCCTGTACTAGTGCCTTGCAGGCCCGTCTCCCTGACACACACACCAGCGCCTAAGTGCTTTGCCCTTCTCCTACCATCTATACCCCAGGAATTTCCCTCCCACCAAACTGAAGACAGTTGTCTAGTTTGCCTGTCACCCACCACCTGCCTTCCCAATTTACTGGAGAAAAGCTGCTCCTTTGTGGTAGAGAGGGGTGCTGTGGATGAAGGAGGCCCTAAGACTCGCCCCTAGCCTAGCTAAGACCTTGATCTGAGGGGGCTCCCCTCCACCCCTAGGCCTAGGACAGGGCAGGTGCAAGCTGCAGGGGAAAGGAGGCAGAAGAGTCTCTTCCGGCAGCAGGAAGTGGTAACCGCCTATGGGGAAATGGGGCTTGTTCCCCCTATGGGGCTGAGCAGAAGGGGAACCGTGGCTGAACTCTGCTCCCTTCCCCCAAGGGGGCCTGGAGGGAACAACAGCTGCTGAGGTTCCTCCCCCCACCTTCACCCCTCCCCTGGAACTTCCCACCTCAGCTCTCAAGGCTCCTTGGGCCTCTCTCAGGGCTGTGACTTGGGAAGGGAGGCCCCATCTGATGTCTAGGGGAAACAGACTACCCAGGGGGAGTCCAGGGCCTGGAGCAGCTATGGTGTTAATATTGGTATTGTGGGCCAGTGGCCATGTGTGAAGGGTGCAGTTTGGCAGTGGTGACCAGAGACAGCCTTCTGGAGGCGGGGAGTTGGCAGCCGAGGATACCAGCTTGCTGGACACCTTGGGGATCTCACATCTGCCCTGGCTGCTTCCCAACGGGGCTTTTGGGCACAAGGCAGCCTAGGTGCGGGCCCATTGGCAGGGGGTGACAAGGCCTGGGGCACAGTGGGGCTGGAAGGGGTTCCCTGCCCCCAGGAGCTCCTCGCGGGCATTGCTGGGCCTGGGCCGCCCCGCCCCACCGGGAGCAGCGCTGAGGGCGGGGCGGGGCGGAGCCGGCGCAGGGTGCTGGCTGGGGCGACCCAGGTCCCGGCTCCTGGCCCGCTGGCGGCCGCGTGGGAGCAGCGGGTTTCGACGGCGCGGCCTGGCCACCATGGCCGGGCATGGGAAGCTGCGGCGGGAGCGGGGGCTGCAGGCTGAGTATGAGACGCAAGTCAAAGGTGAGAGGGCACTGGGTCGCGAGGGACCCCAGGTGTTGGCCGCTGGCCTGGCGCAGCTCTCCCCCAGCGACCTCTGGCGGGGGAGGTGAAAGGAGCCCGAGCCCCCTGCCCACCTCCCTGTGCCCTTTGGCTTCAACCGCCTGCCATCCCCCTCCCTACCTGAGAATCAGTGGAGATGCTGGCCGTCTCAGGGAAGGGGGGACTGGGTGCACCAAGGTGCGCCCCCCCCCCCCCCCCCCCCGAGAAGGCAGCATTTTAGCTTAAGTGAAATCAACCACCTTGACTTTGGGGAGGGGTAAGGGTGTCTAAGTGAGTAGATTGGTATATTGATGAGCACCTTGCCCTGACACCACTGCAGTCCCTAGAGCCCCAGCACCTTTGGCCTCCCCTTGGCACTGAGGTGGCTCCAAGGCCAGGGCCAATGTCTCTGGGCCAAGCTGGTGGAGTGAATCTTGGCTTGAGAGATTCAACAGGGTTGGCTTCTCAGCCTCCTGAAATTAAACCTCTTTGGGTTCTGATAAACAGCCCTGTGCAAATCACATGCAAATCACCTTTGCCAACTCTTAGCCAACAGCTTCTGCCAGTCTTATTCAGGGCATGGTAACTTTGCAAAGGAAAGAAGGCAGTGCCTAAACGCCAGCGGTTCCCGTGGGTCTTCAGATATCTGACCCCTGCATTACTCTCAATTGCTCTGTTTTACCGACTACAGAAACAAGCTCAGAGAGGTACAGTGACTTGCCCGTGGTCACAGTGCCACAGCTCCTCGGAGGTAGAATGAAATGACCCTTGAAGTACCTTCCAACCCAGAGATGCAGGTTCCAATGTACTTATTCAGCACAAGCAATCTACACGAAAGTGCGCCCCAGATATCCGCCTTTGGGAGAGGCAGCCTGTGTGCAGAGCCAGTTTGAGGTGGCTGCACAGGGTGAGCCAGGTGTCATCATTTCTCAGAGGGAGTTAGTGATCCCCATCCTGCTTCCCCAAAATGCCATGAATCTGAAGGACTTTGAAAACTCTGCAGTCAGGAAATAGGGGTCAGTTAATTCACACTGAAAAATTGGGGTTTGAGCAAGACTGTCTAAGACAGCGGTCCCCAACCATTTTGGCACCAGGGACCGGTTTCATGGAAGACAATCTTTCCACGGACGGGGCTGGGCTGGGGGCTGGGGGCTGGGGAGTGCGGCGGCTGGGGGAGGGGTGCAGAGCTCAGGCAGAGATGCACAGCCCATTTCCTGACAGGCCACGGACTGGTACCGGCTGTGGCCCAGGGTTGGGGACCGCAGGTCTAGGATGTTCTTTACTTGCTCTGCGTCTCCATCCCACCCTGGCTCCCCATAAAACTTCCTACCATGTTAGAAAAATAGGGTCACTGTCTCAACACGCTAAATTCTGGAGGTCAGCATAGTCTTGGTTTGGGAGGCCGTCTTCTCTTCTGTTTCGCTTGTCAGCAGAAGTGAGACTGAATGCCTTATTCACAGGAAGTGTCGGTGGGGCCTGAGGCCCAGCTCTGTAATCAAGCGTACGTGGGTTCTAGCTCTCCTTTTGCCAGACGTTTTGTATACAGCTGTTCTGTCCCGGGCCCTGGGAATTCACTGCTGAACAAGAGAGAACCAGTCCCTGCCCTCATGTGGCTCACAGATATAATGGGGGAGACATAAAGTAAACAACTCAGCACACGATGAATTTCAGTGACAAAAACCACTACGAAGGGAAATGCAGGAAGCCAAGAAGGGGGTGGCAGGAGGGCCAGACCTGGTTTGGGGAGAGTTCAGGAAAGAGTTCTCTTATGACTTTGCATCTGAGCTGAGATCTGAGAGGTCTGCAGTGGCACAGCCCAGGGGCCGGGGGCTTTGCCCCAGCTGCCTGTGCTCCCTGGGAAGGCCATGAATGCAATTGGCTTGCAATTCCCCAGCCTCCTACGTGACACCAGCCAGTGCGTGTGGATCTGGACCCGGCCAAGGCTTCCAGTCGGCTTTCGCTGCTGGCAGGGAAGACTAAAGGCCGTGGTTCGGGCCCCAGGGATCGGGCCCTAGGGATCGTATTCCTCCAGGAGTGCAGCACAGGGTGGGGCAGGCTCCAGAGGGAAGGTGAGGTGAGCGCAGTCATCTGAGGCCTTTCTTGAAATGAAATGAAATTTACTTTTATCCAAAAAAATTTTACCCTGATAATATAGCTCGGATGGCATGAGGAGACTCTTTCCCTCTCTCACTTGACATTGAGGGCTCTGCCCTGCTCTGCGTTGCTGTCGCTGTCGGGAAGTACCCTCCTCCCCAGGCTTCCCTTACCCAATGTGGAAAGTAATTCCAGTGGGAGGGTTAGGGCTGGGGCCCCTGGGCCCATCACCTGGCCAGGCTGGTGGGGGCTGGGAGGGGAGTGGCTGGAGTCAGGGAGTGAGAGGCCAACCCTACTCAACCCCAGGGGCTGAGAATAGGGAGGGGACATTCTCCAAGAGGAAATCAGAGGAGGAGAGAGACGGGGAGGCCCCATGCCCCAGCCCCCGGGAAATGACTGGCGGGACAGCGAACAACCAGCCCAGGTCCTTCCTCCACCCTGGCTCTGTACTCTGAGCCTGGATTAGTGCAGTAGCTGCGCCTGGGCTCCCCCGGGCAGCGAGGGGGCCCGAAAGCGAAGGCAGACTACATCGCTCTGCTGCTGTGGTGCCCCCCCCCTCGGAATCCAGCTGCGAGCCCTCTGTAGACCACAGGCTCTGTGCCATCTGCCCCCACCTGCCCGGGCACAGCCAGCTCCAGCCTCCTACTCTAACTGGCGTTGCTCTTGCCCATCCTCCGCTAAGAGAACCCTCCTTGCCCCCGCCTCCCACTCTGACCGTGACTGTATGTTTGTCTTCTCAGCACCCATTGTTCCTGGACATTCTAGCCTGTGGCTGTCCACTTGCTATCTGCGCCCCATTCCAATCCCAGCTCCTGGAGGGCAGGCGCTTGGCCAGCCCTCTTTGCCACTGTATCTAGAATGTGCCTGCCACAAAATGGTGCATAATCAACATTCTGATAAATGAAGAAATCAACTAATGTCCCTCCCTGGGGATGTGAACAGAGATTGGTAGGTGGGCAGTCTGCCTGCCAGAAGCCAAGACAGTGTCTTGTTTACTCGAGATCCCCATCCCGGTGCTTGCCTGGGCACTCGGTGGGTGGCAAAAGTGTTTTCAGCAGGTTGCTTAAGCTTGTCAGACAGGCAGTTCTTTGCTTTAGGTCTGTATGGAGGAAGCAGCATTGCCAAATCAAGCCAGTGATAAGGTGTCAGAAGGACAGTGGAGTGGGGCACGGGGTGGGGAACTGGGGACAGAAGACACAGGCCAGTCTGCCCATCCCTTCACTTATCAGGGCCTCACTGGGGCACTGTCCTTTCCCTGCAGGTTCAGCAGAGCACTGCAGCACTCTCGCCTGAGCAGCACTGTCTATCTGTGCGTTTGCGGGGAGGCTGTTGCACCCGGGGTCCTGGGTACCCCAGGGGAAGGAAGTGGCAGGGGAAGCCATCAGGGGCTTTCCAGGAACTAGGGAGGGACGGGGATTGGGTGGTCTTGTCCCGCCCACCGTGAACGGCTTCAGCTGTCCCAGAGCTGCCATGCCGCCTCTCACCCCTGGGCCTTTGCACAGCTCTCACCTCTCCCTGAGACACCCTTCCCCTTCCTCCTCAACCAGTTGGGTCTGGCCATTTCCCTTTAGCCTCCTCACAGAGGTCCCTTCCTCAGGAGGCTTCCCCAAGCCCAGCAGCACAGGTGAGCCCAGAACTTCCTACCTCCTTTCTCCTCTTTTAGCTCCAGCTCTTAGCCTAGGCTAGGTACAAAGGTGCTCTCAGGGCAAACAGGACGGTTGTCTTTGTGTCTCTGTCTCTCCCACCCCACACTGATGACCTGGCCTGAGCCATGGTCCCCTCTGCAGAGATGCGCTGGCAGCTGAGCGAGCAGCTGCGCTGCCTGGAGCTGCAGGGCGAGCTGCGGCGGGAGCTGCTGCAGGAGCTGGCTGAGTTCATGCGGCGCCGTGCCGAGGTGGAGCTGGAGTACTCCCGGGGCCTGGACAAACTGGCTGAGCGCTTCTCCAGCCGCGGAGGCCGCCTCGGGGGCAGCAGTCGGGAGCACCAAAGCTTCCGGTAGGCCACAGGCTGCGCGATGGCCACAGCAGGGCCTGAGGCTCCCACTCCTCTGTCTGAGTGCCCCTTTGCCTCCAGGAAGGAGCCGTCCCTCCTGTCGCCCTTGCACTGCTGGGCTGTGCTGCTGCAGCAGACACGGCAGCAGAGCCGGGAGAGTGCCGCCCTCAGTGAGGTGCTGGCTGGGCCCCTGGCCCAGCGCTTGAGCCACATCGCGGAGGACGTGGGGCGCATTATGAGGAAGGTATGGCTCTCGCCCTGGGCCACAAGAGGTGTTGGAGGCTTTAGGATCTAGTAAGGGCAGCCCATGGGGCTCAATCCAGAGGTGCTGCCACTGGGAGGGCATGGGAGGCCAGGAGCGCATCAGGCAGTGCAGGCTTGAGCTGGGCGGAGCCTTGAGTGCTGAGCTGAGGCACGGTGGGTCATCCCAGGACTGTGGCAGGTGCTGCACTGGGGCAGTGCTGTGGTCACACTCTCCCCTCCACCCCTAGAGTAAGGATCTGGAGCAACAGCTGCAGGATGAGCTCATGGAGGTGGTCTCAGAGCTCCAGACGGTGAGGACATGGCAGGGGAAAGGTCTGCCCCGATGGCCCAGGGAGAAACGCCAATCCGAGGGAGGCGAGGACACCCCCACGCCAGCACATATCCTCAAGCCAGGCTTAAGGAGAAGCAGGTGCCCAGGGGAGACTTGGGTTTAGGGGGCCAGGGCCGTGGCCCCCTCTCTCTAGGCCCCAGCATCCTGCTCCTGGCATAGGGCTGAGGGCTCATGTGGGATCGCCCATCTTAGGTCTGAGCCCCATACGGAAGGGGGTGGGGAGGAGGGGCTGGCTGTGGCCATGGCCTTCAGCTGGCTGCCTTGCTTTGGGCCTCCCCACAGGCCAAGAAGACATACCAGGTGTACCACACAGAGAGCATGAATGCCGAGGCCAAGCTCCGTGAAGCCGAGCGGCAGGAGGAGAAGCGGGCAGGCCGGAGTACCCCCACCACCACTGCCGCCACCGCCGAGGCAGGGCTCCTCCGCAAGAGCTCCCTCAAGAAGGGAGGGCGGCTGGTGGAGAAGGTGGGCCTGGGGGCACCTTGAACTCAGCCTGCAGGCACTGGGCCGTCTGCCTATCCATCTCTGAAGGCTCTGGCTCCTGTCCTTTGTCTCTGAGAGTCCCTGGCTCTCACTGGGGCCTGCTGTGTGGAGGGGGAAGCCAGAGCTGGATGTGGGGAGGGCCTTGGCCCACCCAGCCCTCCTGGCTCTAGAGGGGTCCCCAAGCTAGGAGCGGTAGTGGCAGGACAATGCCATTGGGTTACGGGGATTGAATACAGAAGGCTCCATTGGCCTGAGAGACAAGGGGGGAGGAGAACAGTCACTAGGCCCGAGACAGCTCCATGCCGTCCCTCCCATGCTCCAAGCTGGTTCCCCCACATCCCTGCCTTCCAGCTGTGCCATGAAGACTCTTAGGATGGGTGATTGGGTGATGTGCAAGTAGAAAGAGCATTCAAGGTGGCCCCTGAAGAGAGACTGGGGGGGTTGAGAAATGCCAGGATGGAGCCACCAAGCTAGGTAGGGCAGAGGGCGGTGGTCTGGGCCCACCTGAGGTGGGACTGGGGCTGCTGGCCTGAGACTCGGGGAGCAGAGGAGGGAATTGGGTATCTTCGAATGTTCTTGGGGTGAATGACAGAGTTGGATTGTGTTTGGGAAGGTTCTCCTGCTGTTGTACTTAGAGTGCCCTCCAGTGCTTCCCTGCAGGACTTCTGGGCTGCATTGACTTTGAGGGACCTGTGGAACATTGGGTGTAATTGTCCACAAGGCAAGGGGAGGAGGCGGATGTTACATGGAAGGCCGGAGATGGGGGCAGGCCGGCCAAGCTGGTGACCCTGGCGTGCTTGCATTGTCTTGAGTAGCGTCAGGCCAAGTTCTTGGAGCATAAACTCAAGTGCACAAAGGCTCGCAATGAGTACCTGCTCAGCCTGGCCAGTGTCAACGCCGCTGTCAGCAACTACTATTTGCATGATGTCTTGGACCTCATGGATGTGAGTCCTCAGTGGGCGGGCAGGGACAGGTGCCCAGCGCACCAGGGCTTGGAGGCCACAGCTCCAGGGCCCACCTGAACGTCTCCTTGCTTCCTCCTCAGTGCTGTGACACAGGGTTCCACTTGGCCCTGGGGCAGGTGCTCCGGAGCTACACGGCCGCTGAGAGTCGCACACAAGCCTCCCAGAGGCAGGGCCTGAGCAGCCTGGAGGAAGCTCTGGAGGCCCTGGATCCCCCAGGGGACAAGGCCAAGGTGCTCGAGGTGCATGCCACCGCCTTCTGTCCTCCACTGCGTTTTGACTACCAGCCCCACGAAGGGGATGAGGTGAGGGTCACTCCCTGCTGCCCTTAATGCCCCAAGCATGGTTCCAAAGGGCTTTGCATTCTCTGGTCTTCACCAGAGAATGGTGGGTTGGTCATATGATTTGCACTTGGCTTTGGGCGAATGCAGCTCACCAGAGAAGGTTTCTTGCTTCCATTTGCAAGAGCCGGTTGTCAGAGGGTACAGCCTACACACGTGCCCACGACGGCCAAAGTATTAACTGTTGACACTTGGTGACGGATGGCTATATAGCTGTCCATATATTGTTCTTGCAATGTTTCTGTATGTTTTAAAACTTTCATAATATAAACGTGGGAGGAAATGGACCATACGGGCAGTAAGATATGATTAGGCATCTTTTTACTTGTCCCTTGAGCTGTTTTTTCCTTCAACAGGTTATCCTAATGGGCATTGAGTATGGCCTGGGATTACATGGGGCACCTTTGGGGCTGACTTGGAACTTGATTCATTCTGGTCTGAACTCCTAAGCTCAAGCAATCCTTTCGCCTCAGCCTCCCAGAGTGCTAATCTTATAGGTGTGAGCCACCGCGCCCGGCCGAAACTTGATTTATTCTGTATTTTGACCAAAGTAACACAGTTTAAAAAGTCCAACATTACCCAGGGCCTACAAAGGCATGCAGCCATTCTCTAACCCTTCCCGTTCCTAACTCCCACCCCCAGAAACAGCCACAAGTGGGCTCTGACGCCTTCCACCACCATCATCTCCCATGGCTGCCCACACGCTTCCCCGTCTCATTCTCCCAGTGCGTTCATCCCAGAATTTTTGGCTAAATTAACATTCAGTGTTTAAATTATGATGACAAACAGGCCCGATGCAGTGGCTCATGCCTGTAATCCCAGCACTTTGGGAGGCTGAGGCAGTAGGATCGCTTGAGGCCAGGAGTTTGAGACCAGCCTGAGCAACAAGTAAGACCCCATCTCCACAAAAAATTTAAAACTTAGCTGGGCATGGTGGTGTGCGCCTGTAGTCCCAGAGACTCGGGAGGCTGAGGCAGGAGGATCACTTGAGCCCAGGAGTTCAAGGCTGCAGTGAGCCATGATCGCACCACTGCTCTCCAGCCTGGGTGACAATGCAAGGAACTGTATTAGGATTACTTGTCCTTCCTTGGACAACTTTGCGTTTTCTTCTGGAATTAATAATTGCCCCATCTTAGAATGCTGCTTAACTTTCTAGGTCATTATTACCAGCACATGCCCGTTGCTATGTGCTCATTGCCACCTCATGCCCACACTCTTGGACAGATCAGGCCTCCCAGGGCTGTCCACACCAGGCACTCTGTGGGTCCTGAGACAGGACCCACAGGACTTCATGGTGCTGGGCAGCCAGTGGGTCCTGTGCATCTGGAAAGTTATGTCTTGAGATTTGGAGCTTGTATTATTCCTTTTTTTAATGCCCTCCCCTTAATTTCCTTTTCTCTCTCTTTGGCGATCCTTGTTGGTGGATATTGTACCTCATGAGTTGATTCTCTAATTTGGGATCTCTGTGCATAGGCCCAGCCCCCAGCCCCTGCGCACTGCCCCTTTGCAGGTGGCCGAGATCCAGGTTGAGATGGAACTGCGGGATGAGATTGTGCCCAGAGCCCAGAATATCCAGAGCCGCTTGGACCGACAGACCATAGAGACAGAAGAGGTATGGGTGGCTGGCCTGGGTGGGGACAGGGGTCTGCAGTGGCCTCCTCTTCCCCTTCCTCTGTCCTCCACCCATTCCCCCACTTCTTACTGCCCTGGTGCTGTCCCCTCCCCAGGTGAACAAGACGCTGAAGGCAACGCTGCAGGCCCTGCTGGAGGTGGTGGCATCAGATGATGGGGACGTGCTTGATTCCTTCCAGACCAGCCCCTCCACTGAGTCCCTCAAGTCCACCAGCTCAGACCCAGGCACCCGGCAGGCAGGCCGGAGACGCGGCCAGCAGCAGGAGACTGAGACCTTCTACATCACGGTGGGGAGGGCTGGGCGGGGTGGGAGGAGAGGACATGCAGGGGTGTGGTTGGGGCAGAGGGAGGACTGGAGCCAGGACTAAAACTGTGGGCTTTTCTTGGGGCTTCCCAGAAGCTCCAGGAGTACCTGAGTGGGCGGAGCATCCTTGCCAAGCTGCAGGCCAAACACCAGAAGCTGCAGGAGGCCATCCAACGAGGTGGGCCCCTCCTCCCTTCCTCCCCCAGGGCAGAGATGCACCCGCTCTCTTCTACCCTGCCTGGCAATCCCTACCCAGCCCATGTTCCTCCCCACCCAGAGAGGTTGACGTGTGGGGACTGACCCAGCAAGGGTCCTGGCCTCTCTCCCACCCTTGGCCCTGAGCCTCTAGGCCACACCTTTCCCTCTGGGGTGTGTTGAAGCCTTCCCGCCTGAGAGGTAGACCAGCATTTTTTCCTCCCCAGGTGACAAGGAGGAGCGGGAGATGTCTTGGTGAGTTTTTCATGAGGGGCTGGCTTGTTCCAAGGACCCGGGGCTCAGCTTTGCTGCCCAGTGAATTCTGGAATAACTCAAGAGGTGGGGCGCGGTGGCTCATGCCTGTAACCCTAGCACTCTGAGAGGCCAAGGCAGGAGGATCACTTGAGGCCAGGAGTTGGAGGCTGCAGTGAACTATGATGACGCCACTGTATTCTACCCAGGGTGACAGAGTGAGAGTCTATCTCAAAAAACAAAAGGGAAAAGCAGTCCTGCCTGGCTGGCCGGGGGTAAGGCACCCTGTGCCCCATGCCTGCTTCTGTTCACTATAGGACCCAGTACACACAGAGAAAACTCCAGAAGAGCTGCCACCCCCGCCCCAACTCCCAGTATAACCAGAGACTGTTTGGGGGAGACATGGAGAAGTTTATCCAGGTACGTGCTTTGCCTTGCACTCCTCCTGCTCACAGCCCTGCCCTACACGTTCCATGGCCGAGCGGCTACTTGATCCCAGCGTCCTCCGTTCTTGGCCACTAGTCAACTGTCCCTTCCTGAGTGGGCCTTTTCCAGGCCTCTGCTGGTCTCCCCAATGGCCTCAACTGATTGAAGGGCACATCCTGACTAGTAATGGGGCAGCACCGCTTCTAGGGCTGAGATGCTGAGGGCTTCCCCTGCAGGTGGGATCAACACAGATGTCCACAAGCCCCGCCTGTGGCCAACATGGTACAGGGGACCCTGACAGTGAAACAAAGGAAGCAAGAAAGATCAGAAAAGAAGAAATAACACTGTCATTCGCAATGATGCGATTATGTACATAGAACAAAAGAATCCACCAGCTATTTATTTATTTATTGAGACAGGGTCTTGCTTGTTGTCCGGGTAGAGTGCAGTGGCATCATCACAGGTCACTGCAGCCCCGAACTCCTGGGCTCAAGGGATCCTCCTGCCTCAGCCCCCTAAGTAGCTGGGACCACACGTGTGAGACACCACGCCCACCTAATTATTTTATGTTTTGTAGAGACGGGGTCTCACTATGTTGCTCAGGCTGGTCTCGAACTCCTGACCTTAAGGGATCCTCCCACCTCAGCCTCCCGAAATGCTGGGATTACAGGCGTGAGCCTCCTCACTTGGCCTCGACAGGCTATTTAAGTGAACAAATTTGAGTTTTGCAATGTTACTTGATTCAAGGTCAACATACAGAATGTGATTGCATTTCTACATTCCAGCAACAAATGGTTTGCAAATAAGGCATGAGGCACTACCTAAGATAGCATCAGAAATATTGGACACTTAGGAGTGAATCTAACAAACTGCATCCTAGGCTTCTATGGTGACAACGGTAATGTATTGTTAAGGGAAAATAAAAAGTGACTGAGTGACAGGACAGGACGTGTGTGTGAAGTAAACACTCTTCTCTGTCCCCAGAGCTCAGGCCAGCCCGTGCCCCGGGTGGTGGAGAGCTGCATCCGCTTCATTAACCTCAACGGTAAGCAAGGCCCAGCCCTCCTGCGGCCCTGGCCACCTGGCTGGGGGAGGGGCCCAGTGCCCACCAGCTCCTTGTCCTCCCACAGGCTTGCAGCACGAAGGCATCTTCCGGGTGTCGGGAGCCCAGCTCCGGGTCTCAGAGATCCGCGACGCTTTTGAGAGGGGTAAGGATGGGCAGGCTGGAGTGTGGTGGAGTCTGGAGCGCACCGTCAGCCTCCTCACCCCACTATGCCACCTGCCCACAGGGGAGGACCCCCTGGTGGAAGGCTGCACTGCCCACGACCTGGACTCGGTGGCTGGGGTGCTGAAGCTCTACTTCCGAAGCCTGGAGCCCCCGCTCTTCCCCCCGGACCTGTTTGGGGAGCTGCTGGCTTCTTCAGGTGAGGCCAAGGCCCCATGCTGGCTGAGTGGGAGGGCCACTTGCTAGTGGTGGTGCCCCACTCATGAGGCTCTCTCTGGGGCTGGCCCTGGCCACAGAGCTGGAGGCCGCGGCGGAGCGGGTGGAGTGCGTGAGCCGCCTGCTGGCCCGGCTGCCCGCGGCAGTGCTGGTGGTGCTGCGCTACCTCTTCGCCTTCCTCGGCCAGTGAGTGCTTCCAGGGGCGGGCTGGTGGTGGGGGTGGAGGGGACGTGGTGGGAGTTCCCTGCCTGTGACCCACGTGTGCCCGCAGCCTGGCCCAGTACAGCGACGAGAACATGATGGATCCCTACAACCTGGCCGTGTGCTTTGGGCCGACACTGCTGCCAGTGCCTGCGGGGCAGGACCCGGTGGCCCTGCAGGGCCGGGTGAACCAGCTGGTGCAGACACTCATCGTGCAGCCCGCCCAGGTTTTTCCACCCCTGACGGTGCTGCCAGGCCCTGTGTACGAGAAGTGCATGGCACCACCTTCCACCAGCTGCCTGGGGTATGGTCTTGGTGCTGCCTGGGAGGGTCCTGTGGAGGGGAGGCCCCCTCATGCTACTTGCTTTGCTCCAAACCTCAGGGACATCCAGCTGGAGAGCCTGGCCAGGGAGAACGAGCCAGAGCTGGAAGCCGAGAGCACAGCGCAGGAGGATGGTGAGGGGTTGGGCAGGAGTGCCCCCGTCCCCACCCTGAGTGCCCACTCCACCCCCCACTTGGACCCCCTCTTCTCCCCAGACCTGGAAGGGGTCATGGAGGCTGTGGCCTGCTTTTCCTACACTGGCCGCACAGCCCAGGAGCTGACGTTCCAGCGTGGGGACGTGCTGCGGCTCCATGAGCGCGCCTCGAGTGACTGGTGGCGAGGGGAACATGCTGGAGCACGGGGACTCATTCCCCACAAATACATCATGCTGCCTGCGGGGTGAGTGGGCCCGAGCCTCGAGGATGGTCCACGGTTCTGCCTCACCCTCCTGGGTCTCGAGGCCCAAGGCTGTCGCCTAGCGCGGCCCTTCACCCAGCGCGCTCTGGAAGTCACCACACTCACCCAGAGCTGCTCACGCTGAAGTTGTCCAAACTGAGGTTGCTGCCCTTCCCCCATCCCAAGTCAGGTTCCGTAGGTCTGGGCTGGGCCTGAGAATGAGCATTTCTGACCACTTCTGGCTGGCACTGAGGCTGCTGGCCCCAGGACCCCACGCTGGTCTTCCTCCAGGGCAGAGAAGCTGGTGGTGGGCTCAGGGCCACAGGCCGCAAGGGAGCTGGTGAGCAGTCCGGAGGGTCTCCTGGCCTTGGAGTTCATGCATCGGTGAGCACAGGAAAGGCCAGAGGGGTCTGGGGTCAGGCTGGGCCACATGGGGGTGGAGGTTGTCAGGTGAGGGCTACTGAGGGATGGGGGAGTCACAGCCTGTTCTCCTTGGCTGCACCCCAGGATGGGGAAGTCATTGCCGAGTTAGGTCAGGGCCTTACCAGGGCCCCCGCCAGGCTCACTGTGCGTGCCCTGCAGGCCAGAGCCGTGCGCCCTACCCGAGACCGTGGGCTCCTCTGGGCAAAGACGGCACTGCTTGGTCCCAGCCTCTCCAGAGCCACACATGGAGGTGGACAAGGTGAGAGGGGGCACTGGCCACGTGGCAGGTGAGGGGTGCCACTCCTGGGGGGGGTCTCTGCCTCCCCTTAGGGACTAAACTCCTCCCTCCCTGAGGTTAAGTCTCTGCCATCTGTGGCCTCAGCTCAGGGTTACTTGTCACCCAATAAGCAGGCCCAAGGCAGAGCCCAAGGAGGGGAAAGAGGGTGGGGTGGGAGCAGTCAGGGACAGGGATGAGGGAGCTGGGGCTCCTGCATTAGCCTTTGAGTTTGGTTCCTGAGCAGGGAGTGGCAGGCTCAAGTCGAGGCTGTCTGCACTGGTGTGGACAAGGGGCTCCTGGGCATCTGTAGCCAGGCTAGGTACCAGGCGGTAACATAGCAGGCTCTTGGCACGCTGGGGAGGATGAGAGGGACAGATGGCAGGGAGGCAGGAGAGGGTGGCTGGCAGGGAGCAGAGAGCAGGCTCAGGACATGGCCGGCAAGGGGCACAGTAGGAGGACCCTGCTCCCTGCTCTGTACGATGGGCCCCGTGAGCACTGGTGGGCCGAGCACGGAAGCCCTGGGGAGAGTCACTGAGCCCCAGGTGTGGCCCAGCCCGCGGCCTAGGGAGACTGGGCAGGTCTGGGGGGACATGCAGGAGCAGGAGCCAGGCAGTGGGGGGCTGAGGAGGGTAGCTGGGAGACCCTAGGGGAGGGCATTCACCTGGGAGTCCCCAGCATGCTGGTGGCCCCTGAGGCTGGCAGGGGAATGTGATCTCAGCCAGGGAGAGAGTACACCCAGGGCCCAGCCAGAGGGGCCCCCACTCCAGGACTAGACCGAGCAATTGCTGTCCCCAGAGGAGACTATGACACAGACAGCAAAGTGGCAGGAGGGAAACCAGGTGTGGAGTGGGGGAGGTGGCCTGGAGGCTGAGGGAGGAGGGGCAGACAGCTGTGCCCAGCACTGTGTGGCCGATGGAGAGGAGGGACCCTGGTGAAGGGTGGTGGCTGAGGCCTTTGTTTCTAGAGTGGGAGGAGCTCAGGTGGAGGCCTGGGCAGGGTCTGGCAGATGAGGAACGCACTCACTGAGCACCCTCCCTCTCTCCTCCGCCAGGCTGTGGCGCAGAACATGGAGTCTGTGTTTAAGGAGCTCTTGGGGAAGACCACTGTCTGCCAGGGCCTCGGGCTGGCATCTGCCACCTCCCCCAGCCTCGGGCCCCGTACCCGCCTAGGCAGGAACAAGGGCTTCTCCCGTGGCCCTGGGGCCCCAGCCTCACCCTCAGCATCCCATGCCCAGGGCCCGGACTCGACCCTGAAGCCACACTGAAGTGCTGCTGGTGGAGCCTCTATAGGCCTGCCCCTGCCCCCTGTGGCCACCCAGAGGCCAGCCACTGTCGCCAGCCCTTTGCTGCTTCTCCCTGGCCCTGTCTGGCAAGTACAGAGGAGGATGAGGCTACCCAAACAGGGGGCCCAGCTCCATGCCTCTGCCCATGGCCAGCCCTGGCGTAGCCCCTTTGGGAGGCAGCCGAGGAAGGAGGCTTTGCTCTGAGGGTTTGGTGGCAGCTGTTGGGTGGCGGGTACCCTTGCTCAGGTGAGCAGGCCCACCAAGACCCAGCCTGGCTCCTCCTCAGCTGCCTGGCAGAGGTGGCAGTGATTCATAAAGACCTATGTGTTGATTCCCCAATGTGAGCTAGCTGTCTGTCTCGGGGGGCTGGGCAGGTGGATACAGGGCCCCAGCACCCCCATGCTGGAGGTGACACTAGAACAATAGATTAGGTGGCCAGAACAGCTTCCACTGGGGGTCTCCTGGCACAGAGCTGTCCATGTGAGGGCTATCTCTCTTGGGGACCTGTGACTTTGAAGATTTAGTTGCCTGCATCATGGGTTCTGGAGCTGTGCCCATGGGTGGGTGCTGCCACCACACCCACCCACCATTCCCCTCATTCAAGGAGGCCCTCACCGCGTGGCAGATAAGCTGCAACTTTTATTAGGGAGAGAATGAGGAGGGAGAGAAGAAGGGAGGGACTAGGGAGGTGTGGACAGGAAGGTGCCCTGGCCTCACCCTGGTCCTTCCTCTCTGGCTGCCTAGGGCGTCTGTCTCACCTGGTGGGCACTGCCAGGGTGGCGGGCACATGCTCCCGTGTTGCGCAGGGCCTGTGCATGGAGGAGCTAACCTAAGAAGCCCCTCGGCCTTATGTCCTGGAGCTGAGGCCTCTTCAAACAGCCGGGGATGAGCTGGGGATGGCGAAACTTGTCCAGGGCCACAGGCTGTGACTGATTCTCTGCGACGACCCCCCCAGGCAGCTGAGCTCATAGAACCTCTGGAAGGAAGGCAGCCTCTGGCCCCTCAGGGAGAAGTGTCTTTGGCCAGGGAGGAGCTGGCAGTGGCACAGGACTCGTCTGGGGGCCGCAGGCTGGGCAGGGTGCGCCCGTGGGCGCAGCAGAGTAGGCTACGCAGCTCCGAGGACACGCTGCTGCTGAAGGAGGCGTAGATCCAGGGGTTGGTGCAGCTGTTGAGGCTGGCCAGCAGCATGAGCAGTACGAAGGGTGGCCCTGTGGGGGGTCCAGGTGGGGCTGTGACCCTGCATGCCCACTGGGGGCCAGGAGGCCGCATGTGCACGGGGGACAAAGGTGTGTGTGCAGCCAAGCCCAAGTAGCCCCCATGGCCCCAGCCACACCCACCTTCCCGAGGCGCCTCCGGGTCCCACGCTGCCCACAGCTGCACGAGGAAGAAGGGCGCCCAGCACAGCACATAGACGATCACAATCACCAGCGTCATCCTCACGGTCTTGGTCACAGCTGCCGACACCCGGGCTCCCTCGCCAGGACTGCCTGTCCGGCACCCTCCACGGCTCCCCCCTGCCCTCTCTGACGGCCCTGGCACCAGACTGGCATGAATCTCCCTGAATATGAGGACCTGGCAGGCTGCAATACCCAGCGCAGGTGCCACAAACACCATCAGGGCGATCCAGGTGACATAGGCACGAAGGCCCCAGGGCTCTGCAAAGTGGGCCCAGCAGTCAAGGACCCCACTGCCATCTCCCACATCACGCTGGGCAAAGATGAAGAGCTGGGGCAGGCTAAGAAGAAGCGAGACGGCCCAGGCCACCAACACTGGCCGGTTCCAGTGAGCCCCACCTCCGTGGCGGTACGCCAGCATGGGACGGCAGATGGCACGGTGGCGGTCCAGTGTCATGGCCAGGATCATGTAGGAGGAGGCGTACATGCCCACCATCTGCAGGTACTTGACAGCCCGACACAGGGCATCAGGCCCGCGGAAGCGGTCAGTGGCATCCCAGGCCAGCTGAGGCAGAACTTGGAACAGAGCCACGGCCAGGTCGGCCAGGCACAAGTGGCCGATGAAGACGTGCATGGGTGCCCAGCGGCCTCGCCGGCCCCGCCGTGCCAGGACCCCCAGCACCAGGCCATTGCTCAGGGCCACGGCCACAAACACTGTGGAGAGCAGGGCCAGCTCTGCCCGGGCTAGCAACGGGTCCCGGGTGTCCAGTGATGGCTCGTGGCTGCTGTTGCTGGGCAGGCTAGGTGGAGAGAGGGGCCCGGACACAGCTGGGCAGGGGAGGGGGAGAAGGCCGAGTTAGGGGGTGCCGTGCAGGGGACTCAGGCCCAAGGAGGCTCCCACCTGCCGCCAGAGCCGGTGGCCTGGGCAGCCATCGCCCTGGGTCTCCTATTTCCCTTGCCCCTCTCTGGACACCACTTCCTGTCTCCCAGCAGAGGGGACTCCTCCAAGGAAGCCACGTCTGTGGGGAATTGCAGCCCCATGCCCGCCCCTCCCTGCTCATTGACAGCCTGGAGAGACAGACACTTTGTCCCCAACCCCAGAGAGGACAGTGGAGGAGGTTTCTAGAAAGAGGGGCTTCTCTGCGTCCTCAAACCCACTCTGCCCACCTGGCTTGGGGGAGGCAGTGCTGGAGCCTTACCCGAGGTGGTGGATGCCACGAACATGGTGGGGCTGAGGCAGGTGTCCTGAATGCCTGAGGGAGACAGGGGGCAAACTCAGCCTCCACCCAAGAGGCCAGCCTCGCTGCCCGTGGTCTCTGGATGGGAGCCCTCGGGAGGCGCTGGTGGCGCACGCCTGTCAGTGTGTGTGTGCTTGGTCCTGGGCAGGGAAGACAGACAGTCAGACACACAGAGCCCAGGACCCACCCAGGCCGCCCGCGAGAGTGGGATTTGGGAGTGGGCACCCAAGGCAGACACATAGACCCCCCCACACCGCAGAGGCCAAGAGAGGCCACTGTCAGAGGGCTGAGGACTGCACAGGAGGGGACCTTTCGAAGCCCCTTACCTGGCCAGGCTCCTGGGTCCTGGGCAGCTGGGTGGCAGCGTGAAGGTGGCCCAGGTGCTGGGATCTGCTCTCCACTGCCGCCCCGCCCCAACCCAGCCTCTGGGAGTGACCTGCCCAGGAGGGGACTTCCTCCCCTTCCCCCTTCCTCCTCCCACATGCCTCCCTGCTCTGTCCCCAGGCCTCCTTCACCCCCCTCCCCACTGCCGCTGCAGCCTCCATGCCACCAGCCTGCTCTCCCCCAGCCCCAGCCCCACAGGGTCCACCTTATGAGACCATCTGGCCTGGCCGTGCTCGGGGAGATGACTTAGCTCAGCGCCTCCATTTTATAAGTGGGGAAACCGAGGCCACAGATGAGTGGGCCTGGGGCAGGATCACACAGCTTTTTCGCAGCAGAGCTTCACTCCCTTTGCCTAGCCGGGCTGCTTCTGCCTCTTTGGGCTTGGCCAAGCAAGGGGTAAATGCACCCTCTTTGGGCCCCTCCCAGGCCACGCAGGCCCCTCCTCCTCCTCAATTAGGTTGGCCGGAGATGAGGGACAGGAAGGGAGGGGGTGGGGCAGGGGCCAAGCCAGGGCTTAATGTGCCCCTGTGAGATGCAGCTTCCTCCCCAGGGTCCTGTGGCAGCCAGGGCCACCCCCACCCTCTTCCTCCTCCCCCACCTGCAACTAGCTGTCCTTGGAGGAGGGGGCTGGGGACCTCCATGTGCTCACGTCTCTCTCTCACATGATACAGCCACATGCCCACTAAGGCTCACACTTGACATAGTCGCACATTCATGTTCATGGACACATGCCACATGCCACATGCCGGGGCACGCATTCCTGTTACCTGTTGCATGTGGAGGGGCTCGAGTGAGAAGGGAGCTTCCATGCCCCCCTTCAGCTGGGCTCTCCGCTCTGCCCCCAGCCCCCAGCCCAGGTGCTCTCTTCCCCCCAGGCCCCTGCAGCTCAGCCTAGGCCGGCACAGCCCGGCCCGGAACAGCTCCATTTTTACTGTTGACCTGTGACGCTCGAGACCAAACACCCTCCCACTGACTAGGCCTAAGTGCGGCCCACGGCCAAGGCCTGCTCTTCCTGCCCAGAGAGCCTGGCGCAGCCCCAGCCCCTCCCAGCCCCAAGGTCATAGGGGACACAGGGTGGCCATTTTCCAAAGACATAGGCACTCACCACCCCCGACCCGTACAACACCACACATCACACACCACACACCACACCACACACCACACCACACACACCATACAAACACCACACACGTCACACACACACTATACACACATGCACACAGCAACCACACACACACCACACAGATGCACACACTACGCACACATCATACACATGTGCACACACCACACTACATACACACCACACACCACACACGTGCACATACCATGTCACATACATCACACGCGCGCACATAAGACACACCACACACACATCTTACACTCCACACGCATCCACACACCACATAAGACACATCACACACGCTAGCACACATGACACCACACACACTATACCCCCATCACCCGCACAGACCACACATGTGCACACACCACACATACACACATGCCACACACCACACATGCACACACCACACATACACATACCACACATATGCACACACCACGCATGGACACACCACACACACACACCACACACGCACACACCACACACACCACACGTACACACACCACTCATGCACACACCACACATACACACATACCACACACATGCACACGCCAGACACACCACACATACACACACCACACACATGCACACACCACACGTAGACACATACCACATATATGCACACCGCGCATGGACATACCACACGCACACAGCACACACATGCACACATCACACACACATACCACACACATGCACACACCACACACATACACACACCACACGTACACACACCATACACGTGCACACACCACACAGACACCACACATACACACACCACACATGCACACACCACACACATGCACACACCACATGTACACACACCACACACGTGCATACACCACACATACACACCACACATGCACACACCACACATACACACATGCCACACACATGCACACATCGCACACACATATCACACACACGCACACACCACACATGCACACCACACACATACATACCACACACATGCACACACCACACATACACCACACACATGCACACACACCACACATACACACATACCACACATGCACACACCACACACACATGTGACACACATGCACACACACCACACATGCACACAGCACACGTACACCACACACATACCACACATACACACATACACACAGACATGCACGCACCACACACATGCACACACCACACATACACACCACACACATGCATGCTTATCCTGTTTTTGCTGAACCCTTTGGATGTCGGCTGCAGAATGCTGACCCTAGGCCGGAACACTACAGCTGCAGCTCCTCAGAGCACACGTCCTCACACTGTCCTCATAGCCACGTGCCATTACTAACCTAGTAGCATAAAAACAACTTTCTTTGATTGACAAAAGGGCAGAAAGTAGAGTCCACCCTGGGCTCTAGAGGGATTCTAGAGGGAAAAGTCCCACCCCACCCACAGTTTCTCTCATCCTTCCCTTGCGCCCATTCCCTGGGTGCTGGCCCAGAGTGGCCTCTGGGACTCAATATCCAGAAGACAAATGTCCTTGTCGTATGATGACACCTCTCCATTGGCAGAGACGTTAAGGGCCCTGGTTTGGGAATAAGACAAAGCAAGGCTCAGGTCCCTGCTTTGTCACCGCCCAGGCTATACCCAAGTCTCTGCGTCTCGGCTTCCACTTCTGTAAGACGGGAGGCAGACGATTGCAGGTTGAACAATGGCAATGAGATGGGTGGCAACGTGGGGCTGGCAGGTCCATGGCTGCTGCTTTCACTCCACCAGAGCCAGAGGGTTGAGGAAGTGATGCCAGCTTTTGGGGTAAACAGGTGGCCATCGGATTCTCTGCCCCAGTGTGACTGTGTAGGGCTAGATCCCAGCAATGTGTTGGGACCCCTGAACAATGTGGCCAGGCCTGTGGCCGTCTCTGCTCCCTGGACTCTTGTGTCCTGTTGTCAAACCCAGGGAAAAGTCCTGAGGCAGGGCCCCCACTGCAGCCTCCTCTGGGCTCCAAGAAGCAAGGTTTTTGTCTACCCCAAAGCCAGGACCCAGCTCTACCCTGCTCAGCTAGGACAAGTGCAGGGGACCTTCAGGAGGAACCAAGAGCCACCAAGGCAAGAGAGTGTGCCAGGAACAGCTTGGCTCCACAGCCAAGAGTCCCCAAGGCCCGGGAGCCCTCAGGTATTCATGTGCGGATGCTACATGGGTGGGTGCTGTGCCAGGTGAGAGGCCAGGCCAGGCAGAGTCCCACTGCCTGCCCCAGCCACCTCGCAGGGGACAAGAAAGATGGGGCTTGGCAGCAGTTACAGGGAAGAAGGGCTGGCTGGGCTTATTCACCGTCAGGACCACGTGAGTCAGCAGAGATGGCACGGGGCTGCCCAGAAGCCCCTGCCCTCCAGGTGGCGTCACCCAGGAGCAGGGCATCTACCTAATGGGGGAGGGGGTGCCAGGCTCCCCCAGTCCAGCCCCCTCTGCATGCCCCCATTCCACTAAGATTTGCAGAAGGGGCTGTGTAGGTGGCCAAGGTGTGGCCCTCTGATCTCCCCCAGCCCGGTATGAGCAGAAGAGGAAGGTGGGGGGGATGTGCGAGGGGCAGAAATGGCAGGACCCCTGGGTCTGCCTGTCCTCCTCTACCCACTGGTTGGTCCCCCATGATCAGAAGCAGGCCCTGCGCTGCGGGTGTGGAGATGGAAGGACCCGGGCCCTGCCCCGGGAGTGCATGGGCCTGTGCAGAGAGGAGTGAAGGCCTGCAGAGGCTGTCACTGTCACCCAGGAGCGGTTATGGGTGACATGGGGAAGTGGGGAAAGCAAACATTAGACAGCCCTGGACAGGCCGTTGGCCCTTGAAGATACTTAACAGATGGAAGGGAAAGAGGAGCCCGGACGTGGAGAAGGAGTAAGGAAAAAGCTGCCCAAACCTGTGGCTAGGGGCCCAGCGAAGAGCCAGGTGCCCCAAGGGAAGGAAGGAAGCTCCCAGCTATGTCTGGAGGGGACACGTGCAGATGGCTGGGCCTATCCTGTGGGCAGTGGGAAGGAGGAACGAGCTGTGCCCGTGTCAATATGAATGGCTGTCACACCCCCTGAATGGCATGTAAAGAGCAGGATGGGAAGGAGAGCCAGGTCCCCAGCAGGCGCTGGACCCAGGAGGGTCTTGATGTCATCATCTGAGGGTTGGGCAGCGGGCGGGAGGAGTCCCTTCTTGGTTTCCCTTCCCAGCCGCAACGATGTCAGTTGCTTAGGGGGCTCTTGGGTCACGGCCCGCGGGTGGCTCAGGTGGACTCCCTCGTGTTCTAACCACAAGTTCTTCCTCGTTATCGACGCAGTGTCAGTTCACATGCCCGTGACGGTGTAACTGCCACCCGCAGCCACGCCACGAGTAGGCGATTGTTTCTCTCCTTCTCCGGAATGACTTTTAAAGATTAGCGTCCAATAAAATACACTAAGTTTAATTGTGCTGTTCGATGACATTTGACAAATGTATACAGTCATGTCACCACCACCACAATCATGACATAGAACAA